CCCCAAAACCCCAAAACCCCAAAACCCCAAAACCCCATTAAACAGCTGGCTTAGGATTAGATAATATAATTTAAAAATGGATACGGCATCAGCAATCGAAAAGCTTAAGATAGCTCAACAGATGATCCAACAGAAAGATTCCACTATCTCTGTATTACAACAGAAAACCACTAAGGCAGGTAAGGAAGCGGAGAGTTGATTTTTATAGAACAAGAGCTGGGAAAGTACTTCTCTGAGTGAAAAGACCTCCGGGAGAGAAACCAGGCTCTTACAGACCAGTTCGAGAAGAAGGAGAACAATTATAAAGCTAGGGTTGAGGTACTTGAAGATAAGGCCTTCAAGAGTGCTGAGAATTTTGAGAAAGCAGAGATTGAGTAAGCCACTAAATCTGTGTTTTATATATCTTTCGTAAAGTTGCATTAGATTTATTAGACTTCATAAACAGTGAAAATAATACTTTTTCTGGAGTACTAAATTCAAGACTTTTTTGACAAGATTTTTAAGCAAATAGGTAGTATTTTCACTATTATGAAGGCAACCGCATTTAATTTAACCATCTGAATGATGCATAATGTACTACAGGCGAATGGAAAAAGTGCACGCTTTTAAGCAAGTTGAGGAGAAAATGGAGGAAATGAAGAACCAACTCAAAATAGCAAATAAAAAGGTAAAGGAACTTGAGACCTCAGAAGCGTTAACTAAATGGAAGTTCACAAATTATGAGACCACTATTGACTCTTTGAAAACAGTTGAGTCTGAGCTACGCAAAGAGCTTGATGAATTAAAGAAAATAAATATCCATAAGGAGCATAAAATCTCTACCAATATTCAGCTGCAGGATGAAATCACTGAAGAGAAAAACTCTTACAAACTAAGATATGATAAGTTATTTAAACAACTGGGTGAGGCAAAGAAAGACATAACTCATTGGAGAAAGAGTTATGAGAACTTAAAAACCTCAATGAGAGTGCTGAAGAACCAGCACTCTTTGGTACTCAAGAAGATTCATCACAGTGATAAAGTAAACGTGGTTAGTGAAATGGGCTTCCAAAATTTGGACCTTCAAAAAGAAATAAAAGAATTAAAAACTCAAACTAAACAGCTTCAAAGTGAGAAAGATATTTTGGAAATGAAACTTGAAAATAAAACAGAGTTTGCAAGAAGCTTATCTGCTTTCGGTTCACAACCAGTCATGTTCGAAGCTAGAGAAAGGCAGAAACAAGACCTCTTAATGTCAGATCCTGATACTCAGAGAGAAATAGACGTTTATAAGGCCAGAATGAAAGAACTCCAAAACAGTCATGAAAAGACTAAGAAGAAGCTAAATAGTCAGATTTTAGTGAACCAAAAGATGTCTTCTAAGGTATTAAGCTGCATGAAGAAGTTGGAAAAGAGAAATATTCTTCAAAACAAGTGTGATTTCTATTACAAAGAAATCCAAACTCTTAAGAATGAGAACAGGGAGTTGCACAATAACTTCTCTGACTTGTTGAAAGAGAATAGCTCGTTAATCCAAGAACATGCAAAGTGGAACAAGACTGCTTTTAACTTCACCGCTCCGTTTGAACTAGCTCTTAGTGATGGGAAAGTTGTCAGAGAGACTTACATTGAGTCACTTATCAAAGAAAACGCTGAGTTGAAGAACAAGCCTACCCAGAAACCAGTCATCGAAATTGATGAAGACCAGAAGACTGAAGAACATAGATTTGAGAGGAAAAGAACAAGAAAGGAAAGAAGCAAGCACAGAGAAGAAAGCAAAGAATCAGTTATGAAGGAGCCAGCCAACCTCAAAGTCAAAATGCTTGAGAAGAGGAAGAAAGAACTTGAAGATGAAATGATTGAGGTAAAGAAAAATTATGAGCATGAGAAGAACCAATTCGAAGTCGAATTAGAATCTTTTAAGAATAGACTTGAGTCAACCTCCAAGAATTACCAGGTGTTACAACAAGAGCTTGTTACGCAAAAACAGAAGTAAGCTAGCCTTTTAAATATTATAGGGAGCTAGAGAAAATCAGAGAAGTTGGTACTCTTGAGAGAGAAAATATTAAATACAACAGTGAATTAAAAATGAAGCAAGACCAAGTTGAAGATTATATCATGAGGCTTAAGGATAAAGAAATGGAACGAGAAAAATGGAATATTACTGCGAATTATTACCAAAAAGAGCTCAACGAGATCAGAGAAAAGCATAAAGACCTACTCAAACTTTTCATGAAAACCCAAGATGAAATTGAATCTCTAAAAAATCCTTCTATTCATGAAGGAAATGTTCAAGCTATTGAGATTCATAGATTAAAACTCAAGCTAGAGGGATTGGATTTGATTAATAAGCAGTTGAACCAGTCAGTTGTGACTTCAGAAAGGATCATCAAGCAGATAGAGATAGCCTGACTTAAGGAAATTGAGAAGATAGAGGTGGTCATAAAGTCGCTTGTCCAAACACTGAAGTACCAAACCCAGCCAGAGTCAAATCGCTTTGGATCAAACAGTAATATTTCTCTCTTATATATAGAAATTGGAAGGCACAGTGCTGAAGATCTTATCGTAGAGAACGAGCAACTAAAGAACGCTATAGAAGAGTCCAACACACTGGTAATCGAGATGAAATCCAAGATCACAGAGCTTACTAAGGATATGGAGGTGAATCAGAGCAAATTCCAGCTTGAATCCAGTCAGGAAAGGAAGAAGGAAAAAGAATTCTTCATGGAAGTCATCAAGAACTTCCAAGAACAAAGAGGCGGTAATCTTCAAGAACTTGAAAAGAAGTGCTTAGAAAACTCAACCTTAAGAGCCCAGATGGAAAAGATTGAGGAAGAAAATGAAAAACTTACTAAAAAGAACGAACTTTTGAACTCAGATGTAAACACTAGACAGAGAGTCATCACTGAACAAATTCAGAAGAAGAAGGAAATGCTTGAAGAGAACAAAGAGTTAAAGTCAAAAGTCAACATGCTGTTCTCCAAAGTTGATCAATTAAATCAAGAACAAGCTAAGATAAAGGCTAAATCTACCGTTAATCTAACCGAAGAGGAAGAGAAAGATATTAAAAGTCAATTCGCAGTCCTGAAGAAAATAAATCAAAAACATGAGAAGGAAATAGAGACCCTTCAGAAAGAAAATGAGTTTTTGAAACATAGCCTGAAATCTCTTTCTGCAGCAAAGGATATAGAAGAGCCTGAGATGGACTTGGATGAGATTCCCTCAAGAGACATTGAGAAGGAAGATGAGTCCTTGAAGGAGTTAAGGGATCTGGTTACTCAATCATTCGAAATGATAACTAATTCACTGAAAAACATTAATTTCAAGGGAAGCTCAAAAGCAGAACTTGATTCACAAGTTAAGGATGTATTCATCCAGCTCCGTGATTATAAGTCTCAGTTGGAGCAATCAACCGAGAATCTGCAGAATTTCAAGCAGAAAGCACAAACAATGGGGTCTCATTTCAAGGATGAAAGTGCTAGGTTGATCATGCAAAATCATGCTAGAAACCAGGAGAATAGTCTTCTTAAGAAAGAGATCGTCCAACTGAAGGGAACAAGTAATGCTTCACATGCTAACTCATCTATAGATGCTCCAAATAATCCTCCAGACAAGAAGCTTGTTAGTAGGATGTTCCAGGTGGTAAAGAAGGGTAAGAGAGTCCTAGAGATTAAAGAGAAATTGAATCAGAACCAGAAGGCAAATGTTGAAGCTAAAAATGTCTCTAAAAGTTAATTCCTAAAGCAAATTTGAGGAGATATTCCTTTTTTCTTTGAAAGTTCAATTAAGAAATTTAAGGCGGGGTTTTGGGGTTTTGGGGTTTTGGGGTTTTGGGGTTTTGGGG